CCTTCCTTCCTTCCTTCCTTCCTTCCTTCCTTCCTTCCTCTTGCCTCATCTCACTGTGTCTGCATGTGTCGCAATGATTTCTATGTGAGAGAGAAAATGACTGGGTCATGCAGGTGGCAGAGACCAACCTTAGGATAAAATGCTGGTGAAGCAATATGTATCGTCTATCCTCTAAACTCCTGATTTTCAACTTTGCAAAGTATTTTTATGAGTTTTTATCTCTTTCTAGGAACGCTGGCTTTTCCTCACAAATAGACTGTATGTGGAGTCTGGCCTTCACAGTTCAGTCTCTCCAGTGGTGAAGAATCAGATTCAGTCTTGCACACGCTGTACACTAAGGAAAAAAATGACTGAGAGGAGTGGGGTGGGCAGATTAACAAACAAAGATGGAGAGTATAAACAAATATTTAATATAGTAAATAAATGAATTCAAAATACGTTGCTGCTAGCAGTGACCATTCATGTGCTTTTGTCCAGGGAAAGACATTTTTAGCAGACAAAAAACCCACATTCTTGCGCTACAATACTGCCTCCCCCGACCCTGAAGACAAATCGTTGTGGACCAGTCTCTTCCTCTCTCTCTACCTGCAGCACTCTGCAACCGTCTCTGATTTTGGCCGGCGATGTCTTCAGAGAGAAAGAGAAGGAGCCCCACTTCAGCCAAAGAAGGAAGCAAGAGGCAAAGGAAAGCCATCAGTCTTGATTTGAAGATGAAGATCATCAAAGCGCATGACAAGGGGAAGAAAGTGAACCTTCTAGCACAAGAAGAAGAGCTCGCCTGTTCCACCATCTCCACTATCCTGAAGGATAAGGAAAGGATCAGAGAGGCGATTGAAGGAGCACCAGGAACGGATGCTGTTATAACAAGACGCCGAACAAGGCTCGTCCGCAAAACCAAAAAACTGCTTGTACTTTGAAGATCAGCTACAAAGGAGGATTCTGACTAGCCTTCTTCTCCTTCAGGCGAAGGCACGCAGCATTTTCACAACGCTGAAGGAAAGAGCAGGTGAGGAGTCACCGAAACATTCTCTGCCAGCCCTGGCTGGTTTAGGCGTTTCAGCGAAGATTTCGTCACCGCAGCATTCTCACATCAGGTAAAGCCGCGAGGGCTGAAGAAACAGCTGCCCAACTTTTCCCAGATGAACTTGATGAAATCATAACAGAAGGGAACTATGTGCCTGAACTGATATTCAATGTGCCGGAAGAATTGGAAAAACAAGGGGCTGTGAGAGAAGAGGAAGAAGAACAAGATTTCAAAGGAGGAGGAGAAAATGTAGGAGTTGAGCCCGAAAAGTTCCCTGTGAAAGTTCACTATGAAAGATTGGCTGATTTTTTCTCAGGCGTTAATAGAGATTTATCAGTATTAGAAAGCGTGGATCCAAATGTGGAACGTTTTGGAAAAGTATGTCGAGAAATTGATGACATCTTATAGTGTTCTCATGAAGTATATGAAGGAAAAAAAATGTGCAAACCAGACTTAGTCATTTCTTTAGGAGAGTTACTCCTTCCTGAACTCTTACTTCCCTCCCCATCCACAGGAAGAGAAGACCCAGAGGATCCTCAGTCATCAACCAGCTGTGCCAGCTTATCCCACGTTACTCAAGACCCAGAAAATGACCTATCTCATACCATACTGCTGTTTATAGGTACTTGTAAAATCTGATTTTGCACTCTTTTTTATTTTTGTATGGTAATGAAATATTATGCACATAATAATACTTATGTTAAGTATTGTTATTATGTTAATACATAACATAACATGATGTTATTAAAGTATTGTGTACTTATGTTAAAAATGTTCAGTTCATTGAAGGATAACAAATTGAGTAATGAATTCAAGATGGTTTAAGGGGGAAAAGACTTCTCAACTGTTCAGATCAGCCTTCTCCATCCTAATGCCCCCCCAGAGAAGTCTTCAAATCCTAGAATTTCCAGCCATTATGGATCTTACTGCTTGCCATGGCCCAGGATTGCAACCATGACTGGATTGCAAGCACAGAGTTTCTTAATATAATTGTGCTGTTTAACTTTTGGGGCCAGTTATTCTCCTTAGGGAACTGTTCATTTTTCTGTAGTTCATTACAGTACAGTATGTGGAAATCATAAAGCTGTTCATTTCCAGTTTCAAACATGTCAGCTGACATGCGTGTCTGACTGAGCTCATATTCCCTAGTACTGTACTGTATGTCACAAGAGTTTTGCTATCCTTACTTAAGTGTTATCCTCACTGTACTGTATGAATGGCTCAGAAGTCCTGCTCAATTCAAGGGTGGGCTAAGTCCATGTAAACATGGTTTGTAATCCTATTTGGGCATCACATTGACTCTCACAGAAACATTTTTCTCATACCAAAGGGAGGGAAAAACATTCCTTAGAAGCATTCTGGATGTGAGAGAGTGTTTAATTAATCTCTTGTAAAAACAACAGTC